GTGTGTGTGTGTGTGTGTGTGTGTGTGTGTGTGTGTGTGTGTGTGTGTTTGCAGGTGCTCTTGTGGACCAGGGGTGTTGGATTCCTTGGAGCTGGAGTTGTGAACTGCCCAATATGGGTGCTGGGGATCTTCTGGTCCTCTGCAAGAGTAGTACTCACTCTTAATCAATGAGCTATTTGTCTCCCAAGCCCCCCCAGAGATCTTTTTTTTATGTGTGTGTGAAAAGTCTTTATTTTAAGAAAATCAATTAGTTAACAAAAATTTAACAAGTTTCACTTAGCAAAATACACCCAAAAGGAGTGTACAAAGTACAAAGAAAGCTTTGTACACAGTACAAAGAAAGCTTTGAATCAAGTCCTCACCTATTCCTATAGTATTAGTATTGTGTCTCAATCCTCAAAACTTTTAAAAAGCCTAAACTTAACCTAAAGATTTTAAATGAAAATATCAACTAGAATGAACATGAGAAATGCTACTGTTTGCATCAGGGATCTAGCACCTTTGAGTTCTCCAGAAAAGTATATGCTCCCAGTGTGTCCAGTGTGGCAGGCTTAAAGATCCACTCAGCATACTTAAAACTACTTAACTCAGATAACATCAGTCTTAAGTATACCACCAAAAATGTTCATTGAGAAAATCCGAGGAAAACTGTTTTCGTTTACTCGATTTTACATGCCAGAAGAAAAGTTTGCATGAGAAACCACCGAAGAGGTAATTTTAAAATACAGATTTCACAAATTCATGGCGCACAGTGGGTCTCCCAGCTTCCTCTAGACTTATAAGCTGCTGCTGACTGCTTTATTGGCTGCCTGTGAAATATTTGATCGAAAGAATGGAAATGTTCCTACCACACTAATCATATCCACCCAGGCTGTTCTGACTGCTGTAGCCAGTCCCATAATAGCCACTCACTGACTGGCTCTCTAGGCCACTGTGAGTTGCCTGGGAAGCTGACACTCCCATGGCTTGCATCACCTGGCTGCTCTAAGCCACAGCGATAGTCCCTGCTGTTGAATTCAGGAAGAATTTTGTGTGTCTGTGCTGCATGTTGGCCCTGTCTTTCCCCTCAGCTATCACTGCTTCTTCATGGGCGGCAAACTCAGCATCAGCTTCTCCTGGCCCTCTTCCATCGGGGCCAACCTCAATAGGAACTCTCACTGGGGGGGGGGGAGGCTGAGTGGAGAGAAGTTGTAAATGTCGTTCTCCTTTGCTTTGTAGGGAAGCCATCTCATGTGGCTACAGTGGCAGGTGGCGCTCTGCACTGGGAACTCGCTATCTCCGTATCTGTGGTCATTCCTTCCTGAGAGACAGTAGCTGAGGTCTCTCTCAAAGAGGTCGTCGGTGAAGCCATACCATCACCGAGGCCACTGTATTCTTCATAACCCCCATAGCCTGCACTAGAGGCACCAGACCTCATCCTATCCCGGTCTGCCTGTTTCACAGTGCCGATGTACCTCCGGGCTGTGCCAGGTTGGTCATAGGCCCAGGTCTCTGCATAGACATAAACTTCAGAGGCAGATGTGAGTATGATCTAACTTCCTCCTGACTGTTTTTGAACATGTCAATATACATATGCCCTATTCTCTCCTCGTGCTTCCCTAGAGCTTTCTCAGCTAACTCTTGTGAGGCAAACTGAACAAAGGCCTCCCCTGTAATCTCGACCCTCTGGGTCCACAGGTAATGTGATCTCGTTTGGACAATTTCCAACCCTGAGAAGAAATGAATGATTTCTTCCTTTGTGCATCCAAATGGGAGTCCCCAACCTCACAAAGCCATCATTGGCACTATTGATGCTGTTTGTACCACATGCTTCAACACCCAATCCATTTTGCTTCTGTGTGACTTGAACACCTCAATATACCGGTGTCCCATGCTTTCCCTCTCTTTTTTTCAGAGCCATTTTTACATCATCCTCTGACTCAACGTCAACAAAAGCCTCACCACTCGGCCTGCCGTCTCTAACATAAGTGAACTGCGACCCCATATTGAATTGTGCAGTCAGAGAGGACATTTTGTACAACCTCTATTGAGTAGGACCAGGGTAGGCCACGGAGTTGGACCACATAGCCTTTACTTCCCTCAGGGCCCAGTATTATGAAAACGTGACAGGGCTGATGTCACACAAGCCTGGGCAATTTTTTCTAGCGTAAAGAACCACCACAGGGAGCCTTGGTCGCCGAGGCCTGCGCCTGCTCCCCACAGGCCCGGAGGCGGCGCGCAGGCGCCACATGTAGCCGTTGGCCCGCCCAGCCGGAACAGCGAGGGGCGGGGGCGCGAAGGCGAGAGCTTTTCGTTGTGCTGTGCTGAGGTGGCGGAGGTGTGTGGCGAAGTGGAAAGCCGCCGAGTCGTGGGAGACCTCCCGGGTGAACCATGAGTCGTGCCAACCGGCAGAAGATCCACCTGGTGAACTATGTGGAGGATTACCTAGACTCTATTGAGTCGATGCCTTTAGACCTGCAGAGGAACGTCTCTCGGATGCGGGAGATCGACGCCCAATACCAAGAGATCCTGAAGGAGTTGGATGGCTACTATGAAAAGGTCAACCAAGAGACGGACGACACCCAGAAGAGGCAGGTGCTGCACTGCATCCAGAGGGCTCTGATCCGTAGCCAGGAGCTGGGCGATGAGAAGATCCAGATCGCGAATCAGATGGTGGAGCTGGTGGAGAACCGCAACACGCAGTTGGACAGCCACGTGGAGCTGTTGGAAGCCCACCAGGCCACCAGCAGCAAGGAAGGCCAGGACAAGTCAAAGAGTGAGGCACAGGCAGTTAAGCCGAAGAAGCGGTCCCGTGGGCAGCGGAACGACGACGACAATCGTGAGGACGAGTCGAACGATCAGGACCACGATGACACCTCCTCAGGTACGCCCAAGGAGAAGAAAGCGAACATCTCAAAGAGGAAACGCTCCAAGGCCAAAGCAGAGAGTGAGGCGGCTCCCGCGGACCTCCCCATCGACCCCAACGAGCCCAGGTACTGTCTGTGCAACCAGGTCTCCTACGGGAAGATGATCGGCTGCGACAACGACGAGTGTCCCTTTGAGTGGTTCCACTTCCCTTGTGTGGGTCTCAAACGTAAGCCAAAGGGAAACTGGTACTGCCCCAATTGCCGGGGGGAGAACGCGAAGACGATGGACGAAGCCCTGGAAAAGATCAAGAAAGAGCGCCTATAACAGGTAGTCTGTGGACGTTCACTCAGGAACAAGCCCACAGTGGATTTATGATGTTGCTGCCTTGTCGGACATGTGAGGATGGTCAGATGGATCCTCCACCCCACCCCACCCCACCCCACCCCACCCCACTCCACCCCATATGGCGGAAGCAGCCTGTGTCTTCATGGTGTACCTTGTCACCAGGCTGGGTCCGCAGCATTTTAAAAACTACAAATACAGCTTCGGATTAACATGTCAGCAAGTGTCAGACTGATTTTTTGGGGTTGGGGAGTGACTTGGAAGGAAGGAACCTAACACGTGTATAAAGAAGACATTTAATTTGGCTGTTTTAACAAAAATGTATGGTTTACAAAAAAAAAAAAAAAAAAAGCCAGGTTGTTGAAGTACAGCAATGTGCTTCTTGTTTCCAAAATGTATGTCCACATGACAAGTTGGTCAAAGGTTTAAAGTTTAAATATAATTGTTTTTTTTTAAAGTTAAATGGGTAAATTTTACATGACATTTTATATGTGGCCTAATACCCACCTGGCCGTTTTTAATGACTGGGTACATTTTTAATAGGACAGACACACGTGATCCAGGCAATGGGTCCAAGTCCTGCCTTTGCTACCCTAAGTCATAATGTAACAACCTTAAACTTCCATGAAGTGTATAAAAGTACATTTCTGCCGTCTTGCCCCTGCTGTATTATAACTGTTGTGAAGCCAAGGTGCGTGTCCTCCTGCGTGCATGAGCTGTATAGATTTTGCATCAAGAAATAAATGAAACTGGGCCAGTTTGTTTCTTGCATTTAATTTTAACATATACATCATTAAAATGTTTTGTCTTAAAAATTTATACACCAGCAGTTTAGACAAAAGCCTTAAACAAATTGTGTATTAATTGATCTCACATAATGAGGGAGTAGCCATCATGTCTGTGCCAGCAAATAAGTGTCCAAAAGTATTTAGAACAGAGGTTAGGGAGTGAGCACTCGTGAGATCCAGCCCCACCATCTGTTTCTTCTGTACGGCCTGTGAGCTAAGAGTGGTCTCTGTGTTCCTCAGTGCTTTTAAAAATCACATTTCGTGAGAGTTGTCAAAGTCCTATGAAATTCAGACCTGCGTGTGTATAAATAAAAGACTTGGAACAAAAAAAAAAAAAAAAAAAAAAAAGAACCACCAAAGAAGCCAACCACCAAAGAAAATTTATGGAAGATAAATTTTCCATGGGAGGAAGGCAGAGGGCTCCAGGGAAAGTCCAGGTGCATCTTCTTTTTGTTCTAAACCTTCAGCAAGATGAGGCACAGCCCTCCTTCTACTATAGAGCCGGAAAGATTCTGATCCTTTTTTTTTTTAAATACAGGGTTTCTCTGTACAGCCCAGGCTGCCCTTGAACTCACAAGAGATCTATCTGCCTCTGCCTCCCAAGTGCTGGGATTACAGGCCTGTGCCACCAGCAGCTGGCTCCAACTTGAAATATTATAACCAATAATCATAATACAAAACCATCTGTCAAAGGCTTAATATGTCCAGCATATAAAAGAGCTCTTCAAAACCACTAATAAAATTTTAGCCCAAAATATGAGTAAATGACTGGAACAACCTTATGAAAAAATATGAATGGTTGATAAATACATGAAATATGTATCCTAATAATTAATCTTAGCTTCTGATCCTAGTCAATTAATAAAGAATTAAAAAAGGAATAATTAATCTTAGAGAAACGCAATTTAAAACTATAGTGAAGGCCAAGCATGACAGCTCAAACCTGTGATTCCAAAGCTTGGAATGCTAAATTGGGAGAATTGCCAGTTTGAGGTCACCCTGGGCTACATGGTAAGTTACAGGCCAGACTGGGCTACAGGGTAAAACTTTCTCAAAAAAAAAATCCATGAAAAACAGATACAGCTATGATTTTGATAGTTGTCTGGTGGAAGTGTGAATTGGTAGGATCTCTTTGGAAACTGGCAGTGGCAAAAATCAAACAAAAATCCATTGATTTTCCTCTAAAATAAATGAATCCATGTGTCCACAGAAGGATTTGTGCAAGAATATTTATAGCAACTTTATTTCTGAGAACAGCCCCAAGTGTCCCTGAATATGTGAATTGTCCCATGGGATATGCATATGCCGTTGTTTGAATCTGTTTTGTCTCTGCCAAAGCTGATGTTGAGGTTTGATTCCCATTGGTGGAATGGTATTGAGAGGTGGCAAATTCTCTAAGAAACATTTAAATCATAAAGGATATGCCCCTTCTGAAGAATTAACACCCAAGTGAACTCTCACTATCGTGGGATGTGGGACTGGTTCGAATGCAACTGACTTTCTGCTCAGCAAAATGCCCCTCAGGTTTTGTCTCTTCCATACCCACCCTTGACCTTTCCATTTCTGCCATGAGGTGAGGAATATACGAGATCCTCACCAACAGCTGTGCTTTTGGACTTCCCAAGCTCTAGACTCATGAACCAAAACAGTCTCTCAGTCTCCTTGCTCCTCCCTCACCTTTGGTAGAATCTTCCTATGTTTTCCCAGGCTGGCCCTGAACTTGAGTGCTTCCTTCTTTAGCCTCCTGAGTACTGGGACTACAGGTGTGTTACCCCAGAAGTGCTTTTCTTTTTAAATCACTTAGATTTGCACCAAGCATGGTGGCACACAACTTTAATCCCAGCACTTGGGAGTTAGAAGCAGATAGCTCTCAATGAGTTCAAGGACAGCCTGGTCTATGTAGCAAGTTCCAGAACAGCCAAGCCTACACAGTGAGACCCTGTCTCAAAAAACGAAGTAAATTACCTAGATTCAGTTATTTCATGATAGCAATGGCAGAAACACAAACCTGCAAACAACAAAAATACCATACAAGGGAATGCCACTGATCAAAAATAATGAATCACTTGATCAGTGCAATGATTTGGATGAATCTCAGAGTGATATACTAAGTTAGATAGGCCAGTTTCCAAATGTTACCACTGCTTAAATTGGTTTCTACAAAGTTCAAGAACAAACAATATAAATCCCTAATGGAAATCAGTACCAAGGTTGCATTTGGCAGAGGTCAGGTGAGGAAATGTTTTTTTATTACAACTCTGTCTTAGTTAGAGTTACTGTTGATGTGATGAAACACCATGACCAAAAGCAACACAGGGAGGAAAGGGTTTATTTGGTTTACATGTCCTGAATCACAGTCCATTGAGGGAAGCCAGGATAGAAACTCAAACCAGGTGGGAGCCAGAAAGCAGGGACTGACAAAGGGATGCTGCTTACTTGCTTGCTTCTTGCTTCTTCATAGATCCCTCAGCCTGTTTTCTTACAGAACTCAGGACTACCAGCCCAGCGGTGACTCCTCCCACAATGGGTTGACTCTTCCCACATCAATTACCAATTAGGAAATGTCCCATCAGCTTGATCCCATATCTTATGGAGGCATTTTCTCAATTGAATCTCCTTTCAGAGTACTCTAACTTGTGTCAAGGTGACATAAATGTAGCCACGATAAGCACTTAAGTCCTAGGCATCTTATTGTATCTAAATTATGCCTCAATTTTTCAAAATGGCCAGGTTCCATCCCTGACTAAATCAAAATCCCTAGAGGTAGGACTGGAGCAAAGATACTTTAAAATCTTTCCCAGGGCTGAGCATTTAGCTAGAAAATGTGTAAGGTCTTGGGTTCCATCCCTAACATTAAAAAATAAATAGATGTCTTAGCCTGGTATAATGGCACATACCTGTTATCCAGTTGTGCCTGAATCACGAGACCCCTAAAGACCGCCAGGAGTCGAGTCCATTGCAAAACACATGAGGATCTTTATATTACAAGCTCGAGCTTGGGCCACAAACCACCGGCCCCTGTTGGAGCAGGTTAGGAGAGCAGCCTCAAATCTAGGGGAGCAGAGTTTTTAAAGGAAAAAAACATCAAGCAAATTCCAAGCCTTAGTGTTACAGGATTGGGTAAGGGTTGAGCAAGCGAGGTGACCTTTACTGTTATTGGTGGGTGCCATCTGGCAGAGTTGCTAAAGGAAGTAAGCCTGTCTACAGAATATCTGGTCCAGTTTGGTGGTTACATGTTTGTACATCTTGTGGTTTTTTTTTTTTCCTGCAACTCGGTGGATGGAGGGTAATTCTTGGGTCCGTACCTTTTACAAAATGAAACCCTCATTCAAAATGGAGTTTGCTTAGCCCTTACAATCCCAATACCACATGGGAGGCTGAAGCAAGAGAACTGACTTCAAAGCCATCCTGGCCTATATAGCTGACTTAAGAGTTCTGGTACAGGGTGGTTGGAGCAGGACATATTTGGATCGTGCTGTCTTATTTCCAAAGTCTCTGGCAAGGCTTTCAGTTTTGGAGGGAGAAGAAGGGGTTAGAGATGAAAGGGTTATTTTTCATTGTCTTGAAGGGAACAAAACTGAATTTATGCTTAAGGTTTGGATGTGGCTAAGTGATTAGTATAGTCTTAACCTATTCACTAACTGGTTCCCCTTGACTAAGAGAGCTGCTTTTGAATTACAGTGAGTCATTGCAGGCAATAAAACAGCACTGCTTTGTCAAATATTCTCTGCTTCAAATTTGTCACTAATTCCAGCTGGCCTCATCCCAGCAGATCTGAACAACTGGAAGGCAGTGAATAGAATTTGATCAGTGGCTTGCCCCACTCCACCCCCACAGGATGAGCTTGAGGTTGTCTCTGTGGGCCTTTTCCTTTAACAGGTGTTTCAGTGATTGTGAGTTTTGTACAGAATAGAAGAGAGCTAGCAGGGGCCTTCCTTGCTCCTGCTGTGTGACAATGGCAGGTTGTGGTGAGACAGAAAGCAGAGAGAAGCAGAGAAAGCAGCTCCAGAGAAATGATAGCCAAGGGAATGAGTACAGTAATGCTAGCAGACCCTTGTTTTGCAGTTTACAAAGTCTTGCAGATCTTAGACCATTTCTACCCCAAACTGGTTCCAACAGAGACTGGGGCTGGTAAGGTGGCAACAAGGGGCAATGGCCTCCCTGCTTCCAGTGCCCTTGGTCTGCCTGATATTA